TTTTTTTTTTTTTTTTTTGTCTTGTTGTTTTGTTCCCCAATATTTTTATATTTTTCATTCGTGTCCTTTTGGCTACTGCCCCTTTTGAATTGTGTCGTCCTTCACATGATGTACATTTGCTGATTTTCAAGTCTTAAAGTGAATATTTATATTTCAGCATGCTTACGAAAAGAAAGAGACAAGATATCCATTGCCCCTTTTTAGTTATATACAAGTGTACTTGTATAGTTCATTATTTGTAAATAGTTATCAATAGTATTTCTTAGCTTGCCTTGAGTTGGTGTCTTGAGTTTGAGTTGGAGGGTGGAATAGGTTAAGAGATGAAAGATTATTACCTTTTATTATGCAAAATTTTAAAAAATGCCTTAAGTTGGTTATTTTGAAAAAGTTGAGGATCAATTTTTTTTTAAATTGAAGGTTAAGGTAAAATCCATCATATCCACCAAAGATTTGGGGAGTTTAATATTTACCGACAAAAGATAATAAGGAAATGATTAGGACCTCTTTATGGTCCCTTAACTTTTATTTGGAGTTTCCTTTTTCTCCCTCAACTAAAAAGGCCCTTTTGATCCTTCAAGTTTAAGGACTAAAAAGAGAGTACAAAAATCGAGGGACCAATAGAGGTTTTAATCCAAGGAAACAAAAAAAGATGATTAAAAAAAGAGACGATCAAATCTTGTTGCTGACAAAACAAAGAAAAAAAAAATCTTGTTAGCTGCTTGAGGAGGTGGTGGGTTATATTAACAAGTGGTTGAACTTTGGAAACTAAAACAGAAGGAAAACATGGGATAAATGTCTAGTTTCTCTCAGTCACAGGCCATTAGGCGACGGGTCTCTTTACTTCATGTAATTAGAAACATAAGCCAAAAATACGAGACAATGGCTTTAGTTGCTTACCGACTTGGAACTCAAATGATTGACTGGGAAGCATTGTACTATTGAAGGGAACTTGTTTGAAGCAAGCAAGCAAGCAAAAAAGGGAAATTTTCAACCAAAAAAGGTCAAATTTTGTTTGTGTATAATGCAATGCAAGCAAAGCAAAGGCTTTTAAGTGGTGAGAACCCTTCCAAAGTCAATGACATTCAGTATACACGTTGGCTGATGGTTCATACAGGTGCTTGCGATGGCTTCTTGGGCATGGGGGTTCTTTAAGTACCACTTGACTTGGAAACGGCGAAGGTATTTCATAAATGATTGGGAAAGGAGAGGAGGGACTTGATCACCTGTGGAGCTGCTGCTGCCTTTCTTGCTCCAGTTGGTGGTGTCCTCTTTGCCCATGAGGAAGCAGCATCTTGGTACCTTGCTCTGCTTAGTTTTTTTCCTTTAGACATGCACTCTTCTTTACTAAATAAATAGATGATTTATTCATGAACCCTGCTTGCTGTCTTCAGGATAATGGCTTCAGAGAATTTGCGGCAGATGCTCTAGAGCTAAGGAGACTCCACTTTGATTGCATATACAGTTAAGGATCTTGCTGCTCTTGTCATATAGAGTTAAGGAGACTCCACTTTGATTGCATTCATGAAATAGTTCACTGCATTCACAATATATCTTTCATTGTACATAATGTTTCTATTCTGTATATCTGAGGGCTACAGAGTACTCTTGCATCCATTGTTATTGTTCATATGAATACAAGCGAGCCATAATTCATTCTCACTATTTCCCCCATTCAATAGAGTTTTTATATAGTGCATATTTTGCTCACCATGTTTTCAAGAAAGTGTTCCAAAGGGTAGGTACCATGTCATATGATCTATGCACATGCCATGGTGCAACCTTAGCAGTTGCATTTATAATTGGTTTAAGATTGATATATACTTGTTTAGCATTTGGTGGCTTAATGGCCACTCTCTGCTGGGACGTGCTTAGAACTAAAGAACTTGAGATCAAATCCCAAGCCTCTTTTCCCTTTCCTAAAAAAAAAAAAGAATTTCACATTGTTCAAAAAAAAGATTGATATATACTTTTTTTTAATATATTATATAACACATTTATTAATAAATTATTATTTTTTAATTTAAAATTAAAAATAAATAAATTTAAAAATTTAACCATGCATATAAAGTATAAAAACTAATTGAATTAACTATATTTATGTAACATTTTTTATAACTTAATCTAACAAATTTTAAAAAATATATCAAATTAAATATATACTGATTTTTTTTCAATTAGTTTATTGTTCACAAAATGTGGCTGCCCACAAAACCAAAAGAAGTGTAAAAAATAATTTATTGTTTTCAATAAAAAATGTAAGAGTCATTTTTTAAGTTTATTAAAGCATATAAACACTAAATATTATATGAAGTTAGTGTATATTAACTTTACATACAAAAAAAAAAAAAACTGAAATCTCAATTTATATTTAAAAATTAAAATTTAATACAAAATTTAAATATTTAAATATTAATATTTAATAAGATAAATTTTTAAATTTTAAATTAAATTTTAATTAAATAAAATAACTAAATTTAAAATTAACACTAATTATTTTTTAGAGTTGACATTAAAATATATTTTTTTCATATTATATAATGAATATTAATGAAACAAGCTCATTGAAATCATCCCAATACCCAATAAGCCGAAAGCAGAAGGCAGATAAAGTAAAGTGGGGAAGTAAAAAAAACATCTTTCCGAGCCTACATTTATCATTATACTTTAAAAAATTAGCAGCTGTATCGTCAACAATTTTGTTACATCAATCAAAAGAAACTTATGCACCTAAAAGAGTGACTCAACAAATGGTAGTCGGTGCATGAACGTTTAAATTCTACAGAAAACCCTTTTGAATAGACACTGTCGACCGGGCCGTGGCTGCTAGCACACACCACTAAAATGTCACAGGAAAACAAAACTGCTCTTTACCATATCAGTACTTCAAACTTCACTACCAAACCAGCACAGATACATTAATAGACACTGTTAATATCCAAACCAAGGCACTCACCACTATCTAGCAGCCACTGATATGACAAAATTAACTAAAAAGAAACAAGGCGAAGAAGAGGCACCTTCAAATTTGTTCCTCCCTTCAACTGGTTCTTGAGAAGCCCACTCTTCCTTTCATCATGATGTTGCTTATGTCCCAGTCCCACTCGTGGGCTGTTGTTTAGCTACATAAATCTGCTTCATCTTTGAAGAAGAAAAGTTCTTATCACCACCAAAGGACTGGTTCCTTCCTTGGAAGGCCGTTCTACGGTGGGACCATTCCCCAGAATTGTTCTTTTGGGAAACACCACCTCCTCTTTGATGGTTATACCCAGAGGAATTACCGTACTGAGAGGACACATTCTTTTGCTGAGAAGAATTGGTCTTGAAGGCAGAACTAGTGTGTTGGCCACTGTTGTTACTGCCATTGCCATTTTGGACATCAGTATTCTTACTGGTACTAGTATCAGAAACTGCACTTAGGGATGAACTCTTAGCAGCAATACTCTGTGTTGAAGCTCCTACAAATATGGAGCTAGATGGCTCAACCAACCCTAGTTCATCAGGCAACTGGGAGACAGTTGCGCCTGCTGCCAAAGGGAATTTCTGGCTACCATCAGATGGTGTTGATGATTGTGGCTCAAGGAACTTGTTGCTAGTTAATGACTGATCAACAGAAGGCCCCTGGTTAAACTGAGAAGGAATTGCACCTTCAGGATGTTGCTGCAATGGCATAGACTGAAGAGGGGATGCAGGGACATGAGACCAACGAGCTGGAACAGACATGACAGGTGATGACTGGAAGCAGTTTAACATATGCATTAGTAATGCAGAGGAGAAGGAAAAGAAAAAAATAAAATAAAGGTGGGGATTTGAGCACAAGAAACTGTAATAATTCATAACCAATTTGTCCTGGACTCAAACATACAACCACTCTAATAATATGTCAAACCTAGCTTCAGAGCACCAATATTTACATTTTAATGGTGAAATACCAAAGCATAGAATTCTATATGAAGCCATAACAAATTGAACCATAAATGACAAATCTGTTATGAAAGTAATTAGTCTTTCTTCCCTAGACTGCTTATATGAAACTGTTTTCTACAACAAAAATAACATGGAACTACAAGACTAAAACAACAAAGACAAAGGTCAGTATTTACTATGGAAGCAGTAAAACAGCATGAAGTTTTCTGAACTTTTACCGGGAAAGGAGAAACATCAAACACGAGTGGAGAAGCCATAGGCAGAAGTGAAGAACCAGAGGCAAGATGCTGAACTGGTGCAGGCATGTTGGTAGGATTACACTGGGAAGATGTCATATTCATATTGCTTACATCCCCCTCAACAACACCCATAGCAGAAGAAACAGGGTTGTGTTTCCAGTCAGGTTGTTTTCCAGATGGGATATAGGTTGTACCCATGAAACTCAATCCAACCTGCCCAAACTGTCCTACTGGAGCAAAATGCTTGTAAACAACCATATGGGGTGGACCTTGAACTCCAGGAATACCTCCAGGTGGGCCAATAAAAGTACCAGTAAATCCTGCAGGAGGGCCATAGAATGAATCTACTCCAGAATGCCAGGTACCCAATGGACTTGAAGATGGTGCATTACTCTTCAGCAACTGTGGTTGGGTAGATGCAGATTCCTCATGTGCTCCAAAAGCAAAAATGGGACCCCCCAACATTGGATTCATCTCATAAAAGGGAAAATGTGAAGGAGGGCCTCCAGAAAAATGTGAAATCATCTGACTTGAAGAATTCTGTGGACTAGGCAAAGGTGGCCATAAGGAAATCGGGGGGTTATCAACAGAAAGATCTGCTGGAAGAGCTACGCTTAGACACTCTTCAGACTTAGATTGACTTGCTATCTGCTGATCACCAGCTACACCTGCCAAATATTATGAGAAAAATAGTCAGGTATGGTTATTAACATCCACATAAGAATGGAAGACTAACATTGCCGATGTAAAAAAATGTACTTTTCACCACATCTTGCCATACCATCAATATCTGTAGCTCCAAAACTTTTCGTGTCTGAAGCAGAGACAGAAGTAGTATCCAGTCTGTTCCCAACAATCTCATCATTAGTAATAGCTGCAACAGCAACAGCTGAAGCAGCTGCTTCAGCTTCATCTTCACAATCTTCCAGATGAATGCGAGATTCATTTGAGTGTTTCTCTTTTTCAAAGAATAAGGTGCAATCATTCTCAGATGCAGAAATATTGCGAGATATTTGTTTTTCAGATAGACTTGGACCTGGAGGGCCAATCCCATGTGAAACAGTACGACTGCAGGGAGGGAGTACTGTTGGTGATGTAACAGCACCTGTTCGATGGGGCAAAAAATTCTTAGGATGTGAAGCAACTGCAAATCCAAGAAAGCCATATAGCATGAAATGACCTAACGCGCCTACCAAATTGTATTTTCTCCCCAGCAAGCAGAGAGTTTACTGGGCTTGCAGCAGATGAAAATGACTTGTCCTTCGTCAAGATGGAGGATGACGGCATAGTAGGCTCACCAACTGAGGAAGTGCTATCTCCAATTGAAGCACCAGAGTCAAATTGCAGAGGCTTCATGGCATCATCAAGTTGAGTCTGTGTTAATGACATCACCTGCAAGATATAATGATATATGTCTCAGATTTTTCCCAGATTTAACAAATGATTAGACTTTAGAGGAACATAGGACAATGTGAGTCCAGATATCAAAAATAACACAGTCCAACAAACCAGAAGATACAAGGCAGCTTAATTTACTAGTGCATTATCAAATATGTAAACAAGTAGAGTTTGCTAGACCATTTTCCCAATTCCCAAATGAACTAGTAGGCTCCCTGTAACTCAAATAGTACAAGAGCACAAATGAAGCAAAACACAAGTATGGTGCATGTAAGCTAGATCATGGCATCATGCACAAAAGAACACACAGGAATGCTGCAGACATTCAATAAGCCTTTATCCAAGTATAAGAGATTGAATCAAAATTAGCCTGTGTGAGTGGCAGACATATACATAAGGAAAAACAAAAAATAAAGGCTGATACAGATTAAAAATAAAATAGACATGAGAGTGTGGGAACAATGCGGTCAGAGTTGGATAAGCAGAAATTTTGACAGTGAAAATATTTAAACATTCCCTGAAAATCATACAATGATAAATTGAAGAGAGAAAAACTACCTTACCATTTGATCAAGTTCCAGTTATATAGTACAGGAAAGAGAGCAAGGTAACTCCTACCTGTTGATTAATCCTTGAATTTCCCCATGAAGACAATGTTGTCTGAATGCTATCCAGGGCTTTATTCTTGCTCTCAAACACAAATCCTGAAACAAGGTTTGTTCCACCATTTGGTGGAGTGGGAAGAGAGCTTGTCTGGATGGACCTGTAGAAAACCACACAATATTTAACTGCCTACCTGTACAAAATATTTGTGATGCAAAAAAATTTGTTTAGAGAGAGTTCATACTTCACCGTCTGGGCATCATTTTTAAAGGCAGGAGTGCCTATTGGAGCCAAAGGTTGAGATACTATCCCAGTACTAAATCCTGCTGATCCTTCAATGCTTGCTAAGTTACGTGCCTTGGAAACAAAATTAGATCGAACAGTTTTTACTGCTTCTTCATTTGCTGATACAGAACCTTTATTTGAGCTGGCTGAGCCAATAGTACCTTGTGTATTTGAACGAGGTTTTTGTGGCAGCTGCCAACAAAATTTATAATAATAAATGAATGAAGAATATAAACAGTATTTTGCATCATAAAACACAAAACAGGGGGAGCTCAAAATGAATTACAACCTTTGTGACTCGGGATTTTGCTTTGATTTCTTTTTCTCTCTGTTCACGCCTATCATTCAACATTTGCCTCTTTGATCTAACCTCAATGAAGTCATCTTCATCACTAGGGGTTTCTATGCCAGGTTGCTGAAAAACACGAACAATGCCACTTTGCAGAGGAGCATCCACATCATCTTCAATGTTCCTTTTTAGGCTGCCCTCTCCAGAGTGTGGGATATTCTGGCTCTTAATTGATAATTCTTTTCCAGCAGTTTTTTCAGCCCTATTCCCAGAATATATCTCCCGTGAACTAACTGGACCAGAACCAGACCCTTCTGATTCAATTGACTGCTTGGATTTATTCAGCACCAGAGCTTTTCTAACTCCATTTCTTGTGGAATATCCAGCACCCCTTCCATTGGCATTTGACTTATCATATGGACCAAGGTGGTTTGACTGGTCTGAAGAAACTATCCCAGTAGCCTGCTTCTTATCAGCAGTTTCTCGAATTCTAAACTCAGATCGCAGACGCTGAGCCCTCCTCTGATATCCGCTAGAATCTTGGTGGGAAGATGCCTCTGAAGACTGAAATGAACTCAGGTTAGCATTTTTAACTGTGAAAACATACTTTTTTCCCCGACTCCCATATATTTTCCCATGAGCCCTTGACCCACTTGAATCTTTCTCTTTAGGAACTGACTGAGATGCTACCAGGACAGTTTGAAGCTGGACTTCTGATTCCTTATTAGACAAGGATTTAAAGTTCCTTACAACTGAGTTCTGGTTGCCCTGATCTTGTAATAGGAAGCCTGACTCAACGCTAGCACTGCCACCATCAACATTTGAAATCTCCACTTGACCCTGCTGTGTCACAACAGTTTTTCCACTTTCTCTAGCTGGCAAAGAGTTCTGCTCATTAGAAACAGTCCCATGAGATAAATCCAAGGATCTAGAGCCTAGGCTAGATTGATTACCAAGAAGAGATGGAACTTCTGTTTTTAGCAGATTATGAGAGGAAGCCTCTTGAGCTTGACGGATAGGCAGAGGAGCTCCAGCACCTTGGTTGAGAGAAAAATTATTTGGAACATTGGGCTGAACAAAAGACATCGATTGAGGAGCCAATGGCAGCACTCCCTGGGAAATAGGAGATGTATACCTCAGCTGACCAAATTGGAATAAAGAAGGCTGTGATGGGTGCATGTGAGTGAGTGATGGGGAAACCTGGGGATGAAGGTGAAGAGGCATCTGAATAGAACCAATCTGTATGGCTGGCACTGGAGATGGTATCAAAGAAGGACCAGAAAAAAGCCCAAATGGAAGCTTCACGGGTGTCTCCCCATGATTCTGTAAAGACGATGCAGTACTCATGGCAGTGTGATCAGAAGACCTGACTGCATGGGAAGCAGACACAGCAGAACTACTAGCATCAACATGATCCACAAGCTCAGGTGCTGGTGATATTTGATGAATGTCACTGGGCTGAATAACCAGATCCTGCATTCCCTCGTCAGTTTCCTGGAGGATTCTAGCAGAACTATCTAAATTCACATGAGGAGCATCCATAGATTCGAGGGTTTGTCCAGCATGCATCCCATTGAAAGATTCCTTTTCTTCTACTGTACCAACAGAATCCTGCAGCAATGCAAATGCAGCATTTTCAGTCCTTGAACTTCTTTCCAACTCATCATTTGGCAACCCGACCTCAACACCCTCATTGAAGCCTAGGACCAAGTTGTCCATTATATCAGATGCCTCCTTCTCCTCTAGATGCATATTGTCAAAGTCCCGAGTCAGAACAATATTCCCACCATCTCCTTCATGCACTTCATCTTCTTCCTGGTAGCCATCTTCATCCTCATCATATTCTTCTTGCTCCTGCAACTGTTCATTGCTATCAATGTTCCATTCATCATCCTCACCAGCAGAAATAGAATTGGAGGCAGTAAACATATTCTCTTTTCCAGCTTCAGAAGGCAAGACAAGAGGGTCATTGCCAAGCCCAGAGACAGCAACATCTTTACCTTCACCAGATGACAAGATAATAGAATCTCCAGACTCATCCAAGTCATCCTGAGAAAGATGAACTGGAGAATCAGGTGGGCTAGAAACAGATAGTGAGGACTGTGAGGCACACCTTGCTGTGTCCCCATCCAATTTCTGCAATTCATTTTCAGTATTCTCCTGCTGGGCATTAATGATTCCAAGCCGCCCAATAAGATCTTGACGAACACTATCACAACCTGCCTCTATGGTAGATCCACTCCTTATTGGATGACTGTACTGGATCTCATTTTGTTGGAAATTTGAAGGACCAGAAAGTTCACCCTCACCCCTATAGGAGGTCTTCTGCATTGAAGACAAAGATGGAGGGGGTAGAACACGGGGCTGCCTCATAGAATACCGTGACCTCCCAAAGGATGAGACCCCTTCTCCCTCAGGGTTTTGATAAAATCTTTCAGGGTAGGGAGGATATGGATTACTATGAGAATGCTGCCCCCATGCAATATCACCATAATTTTCCAACGGATTCTTGTGATATTCAGATTCAATCCCAGCATTTCTGCCAAAATGATCTCCATCCCCAGGAATATTCCACCTTTGACCTTTTGAATTACTAAACTCTTCCATGTGGTGCTCTGGATTACCTGCTCTATAATATGCTCTAGAAGAAGCAAATCCAGCTCCTCCATTATGCTCTTTTCTTGGAAATGGTCTACCCACAGCAGATCCATCTCGCCTGGGGCTATGGTGACCAGTCTCGTTGTCTTGTTGGATGAAGGTTGAGCTGTTTCCATTTTCAAATACATCCCTCCCCCATGCATTAAAGTTCTTTCCTCTACCTGAAAAAACAGAGGAAACATCTCTAGAGAAGTGAGTCCTAGAACTTGTTTCAAATGGCCTACTCAGTCCAGAGGAATCAGAAGAAGCTGAGGTTGTGATTCTCTCAACCATTCTTTCACCATCTTCCCAGTCACCCACATCTGCTGCTTTGGAGACATCTCTTCCTTTCACTACCTCGGAAATTCTCTCCTCTCCTACAGCAGAAGAATTATCACCACTCTTTGATGCTTCAGCCTGTCTCTTGGCAATTTTTTCCTCCAATTCTAAGAGCTTTTGTTTTGCAGCCTGTTTTCTCCTCTCCTCCTCCATAAGAATCCTGTGCTTTTCTTCTTCTCTAGCTATCCTCTGTTCTTCCACCCTACGGACTGATTCCAATCGCTCTTGTTCAGCTCTCCAAGCAGCTTCTCTGGCTTCTTCTTCCAACCTTCTTTTCAACTCTTCTTGTTCCCTTGCCAATCGCAGTCTCTCCTCTTCTTCTCTGCGAGCTAGTTCCAAAGCTCTTTCCTGTTCTTCCATAATCCGTTGCCTTTCCTGTTCTTGCTTCATTTGCACTCTCTCCAGCTCAGCCTCAAAAGCTTCCCTGACAGGGTCATGAAGATCAGTCTGTTTAAGCACATCCTTCTTCCTCTTAACCACACCTACGAGACTTGTAGAAAAAGGATCTTGTCCATCAAAACTAGTAGGCCCAAAGTCCTTCAGGAAGGAGTCCTCTACATAAGGTTTTTCATTTTTGGAAAATGGGCGTTTCTCCCTGCCAAAATTTAATATAGGATCATTAACTGAAAGCCCCCTACTACCCAAAGAAAAAGAAGATTTGGATGATGAGCCATTCTGAAAGATATCGCCTTTGTATCTGTTGTTTTGTTCACTTCCAAACCGCTCTCTTGTATTCCTCTCAGACATCCGACTGCTAAATGTATCAATAGTGTTGTTCCATGGTTGTTTCCCTCCACGACCATACCCCAAATCCCTCTTCCCAATATCATCCTGAGCATTGTCATGGAAATGAGATTGCACGGACTTACTATCCTTTTCTCTGTTCAGAGTAGGCCTCACATCAATAAAATTTCGGTCATTTCCAATGGCTTGGGAACTAAATCCCTCTTTTGAGAGAGGGGATGAAGCTCTCCAAGAGTTTCCTTCCTGTCCTTCTCTACTCGCTGTTCTTACATCCCTGCTGTAAGGGTCCACTTTTGTGACTTCACTGGAGGAATTCCTTCCAGTTTCATTGTCACGCTGTCCCCACCTGTCAACCAGACTATGAGCTGATTTGTGCGGCAGCAAACTGACTCTTGGCATATCAAAATCACTATCCCAGTAAGCCTCACCTTTTGAATACCCATGATCCCTTCCCCGGTCTGTCAAACCATGACCTGTATCACGTTCATCATCAGCCCAATCAGACCTTGGGTTCAAACGAACCAATGGCAATGGCCCTGGAAAGTAATCCTCCTGTTTTTGAGCTGGCTCTGATGCATGAGAAGCACTCAGGCCAGGACCCTGACCACCACTGCCACCCAATTCGTTACCAATACTATTATGTCCCAACTGCGGACGCATTTCAACAAGAAGGCTTGAACGAGAACTGGCTCTTTTCTCACTAGACAACTCCTCAGCTGCCACCTGCTTCTGTTTAAGGTTCAAACTATCTTTCTGTTTCTTTTCAGTTCCAGATACAACAGGTAAAGCTGCCTGTAATGTAGGAAAGTCCTCTCCCCTCAACACAGTTGCTTTCTCAAATTGAGGAAAGGATGGGGACGAGGCAGAAGCTGAAGGCCCCACCACACCAGACCTTGCTGAAGGCGGCATATAAACGCCATTGCCTCCCTTACTGACCTCATCACCAATATTAAAACCATGATCAACACCACCACCGACATGATCACCAACAAACCCTTCCTTCTCCTGCAAAGCAACAGTGCCAGGCTTACTCCAACCCATGCCGGATGATGTGGGCCTTGACCCACTTCCAGAAATTCCTCCACCAGTGGTACCAGCACCTGACCCCGATGAATCAAACCGTTCGTGTTCCTTGCGTAGTGAGGGCAGATTCAAGGGGGGTGGAACAGAAAGCTTGGGCCCAGACTTCTGTGAGCTGCGAGGCCGTGAAAGGACAACCATTCCTCCTCCTCCACCACCACTAGTCCGTCCCCCCCGATTGGAACCATAAGAACCGTGATAATGATGTTGATGATGATGGGTAGATGATTGGCCATACGACTTGTTTAGATTGACGGACAAAAACTTGTTCCCCACTCCATGATTAGCCATCTCAGGCTCCCGCCCCAACTACAACCCGTTTGGGCGGACCGACAACGCATCAAACCACTAACCCTAGATTTGCCTTCCCAAAACAAAATTGTTCACTTTCTGTTTCTCGCCACAGATCTCTCGCAGTTAATGACGATCGGATAAAATCAACGAAGCTCTAACAACTCCCTGATCAAGAAAAAAAAAATCAATAATCTTCAATTACAAATCAGCAATAGCTAAACCAACGAAATCAAACAATAACGAGGAGCATAAGAGTATGTTATTGGTATCAATTAGGGTTTCGATTTTCAGGCACACAGAGGAAGAGAAGAAATGAAATGAGAAGGGAGGGCGTGGGATATAAGGAGCTTACCTCCGGTCCGGGGCGTGTGGTGGATTACGGCGGAGGAGGTTAACGTGCGCCGCGGCGAATGAGAGGAGAGGAAAAGAAAGTTCTACTGTGTTTAACCGGAGAGAGGGAGACAGACAAGGAGAGATGAGCTAAAACGCGAAAGAAAACCGAGGAATAGTTTTTTTGTCTTGTTGTTTCAGTTCCCTAACATTTTTCCGTTTTTCATTCGCGTCCTTGTAGCTGCCGCCGCCTGCCTGCTGTTTCCATTGTGTCCTTTACATGTGCATTTGCCGACTTCAAGTCTTAAAGTGAATACGAAAATGGAATAAAAAATAACCAGTAAGAATACGGATTTTACTTTTTTGTTTTAGTTAGATACAATTTTTTTTTAGTTTGTTAAATTAGGTGGTTGCATTTCAATTTATTCCAAACAAGGATACAAACTTGGTAAGTTTTCTAAGGCTTTAATGGATGGCAAGAATGAAATAGCATATGGAAATTTTAAATGAAATGCTAATGTGCTTAAAAAAAAAAAAGGGTTAACAGCTCTTATTAGTGGAACTCATTTTCTCACTTTAAATCCAATTTCCTTAGGTTTCGGGCTTACCCAAATTGCTCTCTTCTTTTTCAAACTTACCCCAATTGCTCTCTTCTTCTTTTACATTTCAAAAGCCCTTTCATCATTTAGTTTTCATTGGCCCCACTAATCTGTGCTGTTAACTTTTTTTTTTTTTTCTTTTGTCTAGTCAACCAAACACACATCAATAATGCAAGTTTCCATTAAAACACATTAGTATTCTGTTTAAAATTTTCATCTACCAAGTCATCCTCGTCATTCACTAAAACCTTAAATAAAAATTTTACAAAACTCATAACTTTATTTAGAAAAAATTAGAGGGTGATCACCTAATTTATAAACTAAAAAAAGTTTACATTCTTAAATTAAAGAAGAGCAAAGTTTGAATACTTATCTTACCCTTTAATTAAAGTATATTAATTTTTTCTACTAAAGCTCCAATATTTAGAAATCATATTGAATTTCAATTAATTTAAAATTGAATCAAATTGAACTCTATGAGAAAAAATTCTTTCAATACTTGTTTTTGTATTTGTATTTATAAAATTTGAATTCAAAACTTTACCTAATAAAAATCGAGCTATTTCTACTTAAACTAACAAGCCGTTGGTATTATAATATAGTAATTGGATGCTTGTACTTTCACTTCTTGCAAACAGTTTTCAATTATTCTGCAAGTTGGCTATTTTGAAAGAGTTGAGGATTAATTTTGTTTAAATCAAAGGTTAAGGTAATCTCTAACTTATGTACCAGAGATTGGGGGGCCAATTCTAATATTTACAACAAAAAATAATAAGTGAATAAAATGCATATAACATTTGGAATGATTCCAACGCCATTCTGTTCGCAGCGAAAAACAGCTTTTCCCAGACGAGAGTTACCTGGATTAGACGGCGACCATGGCGATTGATGCAATCGAATCTCCGACTTCTCCTTCTCAGTCCGCTTCCCATTTCAGGTGCCCTCTAATTCCTTTCAGGCTTTTTCGATCTTCACCTTTATTTTCCTCCTGCGGCTTTTGCCTTCGAATTTAATCGTGATTCTCTCATGGCAGCAGCCAGTCTCGCCATTTCTACCTCGCCGTCGACAGACTCCAATTCAAAATGGTTAGAAGTCATTCGTACTTCAATTTATTTAATTTCGTTGTTTTCAGTCATAAGAAATAAAATTACTCAGATAAAGGATGCAAATCAAATTTGATAGGGAACCTTAGAGGAGCTACTGGGCGTGGTGGGACGGCGTAACTGTCTTCCGATGGTGGTCTGCTGCAGCTCACGCGACGAGCTCGACGCAGTCTGCTCCACCGTCTCTAAGCTTCCTTACATTTCCTTAACCTCTTTGGTAATTTACCCCTTTCTTTTGGCCTTTTCATTTTAAATCCTCTTGGTTTACGTGGAAAACGGAGAGAAGAATAAAAATTTCAGATTTTTGTAGTTGCTGTCATATTCTTTTTCTGTGTAACGTGCAATTCTGAGGAGGGAAAAAGGGAGCGGAAAAATGGTAGGAGTGTGTGCGAAGTTTGAGTTGGTAGAGAGACATTTGGGATTTTCTTGTGTTCTGGAGCTGTGAAGTATTGCTGAAATAGCTTGTATGTTTTACCCATTTGCCAGTACAGTGACCAAGCTGAAGCAGAACGAGCTCTAATCTTGGAGAAGTTTCAGCAAGCAACCCTGAGCTGGAATCAAGAAGTCACTGCTCAGCCAGGAGATGGGAATGAAATGGGCAAAGATGTGCAAGATGAGAAAAAATCTTGCATGATAGTTGTTACTGATGCTTGTCTTCCACTCCTTTCTTCTGGAGAATCCCCCATATCTGCTCGTGTTCTGATCAATTATGAATTGCCAATTAAGAAGGTGCCATTCCATCCTTATTAAAGGAATTTCGGTTTCTTGCATTGATCTGTTGTATGTTTAGAATTATTCATTATCCAGTTTTCTACAAACTGCTGGTGCTTTTGTAATTTTCTTGAGCTTTTTGTTTTTTGATGAGAGGAACTATTCTGTTTTTTCATGAGTATTTCAATGTTATTATTATCATTCTACACACTTTCAATTTCATAAAATAGGTTATCTTGTATGCCCACCACAAGATGCTAATTGACTTGGGCACTCTTGCACAGCATAATCTTTGCCGGGGTTTGACCCCATTTATGAGTTCAAAATTTTACTTTACGAAGTTTTGTGAATGGCTTTCTAGGTTCAGAAGGCTGTGAAAAAGTCCACATAACCTAGCTTGTTGGTCTACTTCCATATTCATATCTGCTTGCATAACAAGGGAAGTCTCAATCTTTTATCATCTTGCATCCATAGTTTGGCATAAGTTTTTTAGAAATGGCTATAAGGGGAAGTCTCAATCTTTTTGCTGTTTATCATTTGATTTCCATCTTTAAGTATATTTAGACTAATACCTTTTTAGCAAGATTGGTAAATGTTGTTTTCTGTGTTTTTGTATCCTAGTTAATTTGTCAAAAAACCATACATTCTATGTTTCTTACTTACATTTTCTCATTTTTGCTTCCTTGCAGGAAACTTATCTGAGACGTTTGGCTACTTGTTTGGCAGCAGGTTTTCTCCAGTGCCATAATACTTAATTATTCACATATCATGGATTCAACATTCCCAAAATAATTCCATTTAGACATATGCAGATGGAATTGTTATCAATATGGTTGTTGGGGGTGAAGTGGTAACTCTCAAAAGTTTAGAAGAAAGTAGCAACATTATCATAGCTGAAATGCCCATAAATGTAAGTCTACTACTTCATCTTGTATCCATAGTTAGGAAAATGTTAGGATAACATTCATTTGACAATAGCTGAACTGGTTGCTTCTGACCTTTCCTTTTCTCTTGCCCTGAATTACTGCTGATAAGCATGTCTGGAGTACAACCAGAATGGTTGTTAATCTCACTGTTACTTTCTCTATTTTATGCCTTTTGTGGTTGACCTTTGGAAATTCAACCCCGTATCTATCGTTTTAGGTTGTGTCATCATCTGTGTGGTACTAACTGAACACATGATCTTCTATTCTTGTTCTAGATTTCCGAGATTTTGTGATGATGTTTGCTCTTCTGCAATGGCTAAAAGGATGCCAGCATTTTGGTTACCCATGCTTCTTCCAGTGGTTGGAGTGGTTGGACAGAATTCATGTGCTTTGTGAGTAGTTATGGTGGCAATCCTTTTCTAGTCTGCCTTTCTGCAATCTGGTTATTAGTTCTAGATATTCCTTTCAATTGTGTAACATTTTTTATTTTTATAGACTACCCATTTGTAGATCACTCTGAATAGGTTTTAGGTCGTGCATTTAGGAGTGAGAAATGCTCCATTTCATGCTGGACTCGGAAAAGTACAGGCAGCCTGTGCTTGTTTTATTGAGAATTCAAACATGACAATGAAATACTTGCACTGGTGGAAATCTCCTACAATGGGAGTTGGGAATTGGTGGATGCATATTTTCTTGTAAGAGTAGTGCCCGGGAGGTTAATTGCAACTTTCTTATGCAATTTGTTTTCTTATATATTACCTTCAAAAAGTTTCTATGTTGTCGGCAACTGACAGTTGTGATGGTATCCGTATTTCTTCTGAAAACAGCATATGCTAATATCCAACTTGTATCACTTCCAGGCAATGTCATTTTTATCTTCTCTTGCATTTGTTTGGTGATTTTTATTTTTTATTCAAAATTACGAGTAAGGAAAGTTGTGCTTGCTATACCATGTTGGTTGGGCGTGAACATCAGGTGACAGGATTTCTTTGTTTTGAATCACAGACCTTGTCCACATCCAATAATGTTATTGTTTTTTGAAATTTTGAGTGAGAAAAGCCATTTTTGTTTTGTGTGAAATGCAGTTTTGAAGCTGTTTTGGGCTTGAACATATTGTGAGGATTTCCTTAATTTCATTTCATCCTATCTCTTCTCAACTCAAGTCAACTAATGCAATTCAAGATGATGATTCTTTTAAGTCAACGTTTCAAAGTAATGGTCTCTTTCTTTTCAGATTTATTTGGTTGAATCTAACCATTCAACTACTTATTTCAAACATCTATGTTCTTCATCCATGTCTTGAATGCACTGCTTGCGTTACACATATTCAACCAGTAACCCTAACAAGCGAGAGGCGTCACTCTCTTCCCATACTTTCTCTTTCTCTTTTTATTTTTTAATTATTAACAGTGTTGTTCTCCCCGCATCAGTTTGCTTTTTGTGTTGATGTCTAGACAATTTTTTTTTTTTTTGGAAAATAGGTAATGGAGATGTCTAGACAATTGGTTATCCCAGTATGGGGAGGAGGGGACACTACTCCTGTGCATTGGGTTGTTTGTACCTGAGGAAAAATTGAAAAATATAGCCAGACAGGTTCTAAAACCTTACTTTAGGTACCCCTACAGATACAGCCATGTCCAGGGCCCAAGTTATTATCTTTTAAGGGCCCATCATTTATTTGCATTTCTTTTATTGACCATGGACTACTTATTTGCATTTAGGTGGAGAAGAATAGTGGAATTCTTCTAGTGGTAATAGGAATATCTGAATTGTGTTTCTTAACTAATCTAGATCTAGGAACAACTATTCAGAAACTTCTCAATACGAATTATTGATTACCTTCAACTGATGAGGAGAAGTAATCCATGGGAGGATACATCTCTTTTTTTTTTTTAGTTTTGGTTAAAAATTAAAAATGCCAATATGGGCTGGAAATGATCGAAATGTCATCAATGAATCCACGCACATGCCTGATTTCATTAAAGACATATTTTTTTGTTTTCAGCCTGAACTTTCATTTTCTTACTTAGTTCAATGGTTGGGATGATCATGAAAATAACATTTCTGAATCTTTGCTTCTTACAACTAAACTTGATGAGAACTCTAGCTTAATTTGATTGAATCTAACCATTGAAATAAAAAAATTTGGAAAAAGGAATATGCTTTGATCTTTTTAAACGTCAATGTCTTGAGTATTGCTTTGATTGCTTTAGGTTATCTTAGACATTACACACACACACACACAAATATATTCAACTTGAAATCATAGAAAATTCTATCAACGCCATCCGGCATTGATTGAGTGATACGATTGGTATATTCCCACTTGTATTTGCAAAATGTTAATGAAAAACAGGAGCAAATGGAAGTGCATGTGCAGGGTCCCAACATGAAGACTTATGGAAAATGGAAAGCAAATGAGTGAGGCTCGGTGGGTCACTCCATGCATCCTGCTCCCACCAGAAGTTTCAGTTGGAGAATCCTCCAGGGAAAATATCTTTCCCTTTTAAGGGCTGACCTTTCAAGGCTTCAATCAATGAGGTAGTTTTTGAATATTGGAAGGGCCATGTCTAATAGAAGGGAAGAAAGGAGACAGACAAGACTCTGATTGTTGTTTACATTAAGAGCCCCATTACCCTTCACTCACTGCTTGTATTTGTCAAGAGGGGAAGGAGATGCAAAGGCTATCAATGTGGGGGTTGTGGTGCCACCTAGTGGGGTATCCTATTGCCAGAGAAAGAGGCCATTGGTTTAATTAAGGAGCCCACGGGAGATTAATTAAGTGTTCTTTACAGGTAATAGGCAGTTGAGGATCAATTTATTGATGATGATAATGAGGACCATCTGAGAATGATTCCGGCAACAGAGAAAGTGAAAGCTTGTGATAATGATGTCTCCCCTCCTCCTTTGCTACCCAGAAAACAGCAGGCGCTAATTAATTTGTTCCATCTTATCCTCCAAAACAGTATGCTGCTCTCTATAGAGAGTTGGGGCTGGATTGAGTAAGTTTTTCTTTTTATCTCTTTTTCCCGTTCCAGGAGTATGTTTCTTCGAATTTTTATCACCGTCATTGCCTACACATGCCACGTTAAATTGAGATATGGTTGGTTTTAATAGCAAAGGAAATATCAGAGACGGCAGTAGGTCGGTATAGCTTGATTGATAGCGAAATACATGCAAAATTGCAAACGTTAAAATGCCCAAGGAAAAGGTTGAAAGGTTAGGGTATGGATTTTCCTTCAATTAAATTAATATTTTAACCTAACGTTTTAATTTAATTAGTAAAAATATTTTCCTCCTCTCTTTTTCCCTCAAATTAAAATACCTTTATAGTTTGTATAAAACTCCAAAGAAAATGGAGAGTTTTTTTTTTTTTTTTCTATTGTGTTACATAATAAAAGGTAATAATTTTCTTACATCTATTTTTTTTCTCTTAAAGTGTAAATTTATGAAAATTACCATTAATTAATTAGGTAATTTACGTCATTGGCAGGTGA